TAGAAATTCTGAGAGCGTGCTTGATTATGCTCGGAAGCATCAGGCGCCGGCGTTGGTCATGGTTAAGGGCCACGTGGGGGCGGTTGAGTTACCGATCCCGCCTTGGTGGCGGTATCGCCTAGGTTTTGGCTGTGGTAGGTAGTGGAAGGTTGGCCGAGAGCCCGCTGGTTTATCTGTTTGTCAATTTTGTTAGTTTACGAGAAAATCGGGAATCGGATACCGTATTGTTCCACTATGAGGCTGGGTTGGCAGTGGTGGATTTCCCCGAGTGATGCTCTGTGAGCTCTCAAAGTATCGCAATACAACCCACTTCCACCACCACCGAAAAAATGGTTCAAAGTAGGATATGAATGAAAGAGTGATATCTGTTTCCACAGCTCACGCATAGTCCATAGCCTAGTACTTTCCGACCACTCGCCACTATCTTGACAGCAGGGCGGAATATCATACCAAAATATATACATATATATATTTATAGTAGAGCCTGCTCCTGACTCTTTGCAGGCCGCTTCTTAAACTTAACGATACGGGATTCCAGCGACGGTGGCCCCAGAACCAATTCTAAGCCCAAGAGCTCAGAGGCACCTTTAGAAAGTACCTCTTCCCTCTGATCCTTTCCGAACATAAGGTAGCCAGCCACATAGGCGGTAATCATGATTAGGTACTTGAAAACCCTCAAAAGATACATCCCACAACGTTCCGATGCTCACTCGTAACTTGCCATATAATGGAACTTCGTTCCGCGAAAAGCAAAATCTAATCCTTGGCGTCGGTTGCAGGGAGGTGGAATTGTGCGGCATCACGTCTTAAATCCCCAACCTCCGCCCCGTGAGGCTTCAGAGACGATATGATACTATCGGGCTGTATGTTTTACTCGAGAAGTCGTAAACGAGAGATTATCGTACATACCGAACCTTTTCCGACCGGCGACTGACTCTACGGCTCAGACCCAGAATCAATCTCTTGTGCAGCGTTATCGTGCAAATATCCCCTAAAAAAACCGCCAAAACATTTCAGGTCCATTCGAAATTGTGGAACACCAGCCCATTTGAGTAATCGTGATAGGAAGCGTGGTGCTCAGAATACTGCAAAACCTGTACTCGTAACTACGGTACAGTACTCAGCAGGACCATGATGAAAACGACAAAGTCCACGTAAAATCCGCTCCCGCTTAGTGTCCAACATTATTAAATGGGGGCTGGAATGTTCCAGCGGTTCAGAGGATGATCCCCGTCCGTTTCTCATACCTGTACTTAGTACTGTACTCGTAGGAAAAAACATCTGCCGAGTATAACACCGCATTTGTAGGATACAGTACGAGTACTCGTACCGGGTATGAAGGGTAAGTCTGCCGAACCATCCCCCCTCTTCTCGACGAGTCTTTGCGCCAGCCGCTTACGCCAAGAGCCCGACAGAATTTTTCCTTCACCCAAAATCTGCGTTCTGTCGCGAATACCACAATAGGCTGGTGTTCAACCCAGACCAGAAAATCTCAGCAGCCCAAGCGACAACACCGGTAACAGAGGAGCAACCCCACTTCCGCTAGCCCCACTTGTGCTAGCCTTGTTGCAGCGCAGGGCTCTCTGCAGCTATTACGAGTATCATACAAGTAATCAAAGCAAGGGTCTTCCTCGGCAAGGCTTCTTTTCTTTTTTTCGGGCAAGGGTTAGGGTCTCATCGCCATCTTCCTGAGAAGAAAGTGAGTGATTGGAGGTGACCTCGATTCCCCCTCATAGCCCTTTCGTCCGGTACCGGTATATTGGGACAGATAATATCGGTACTGTGTCGTACCAAATGCAGTGTAATACAGCTCGGGTAAAAGGACAAGTTCTACTGTACCCTTCCGTCCCTTGTAACACGATACCCATAAGCTGTGCATCAATCCGTCCACGACAGCGAAGTCAGGGCCCACCAGGTGGATGAAGGAAAAAATCCAAGAGAAAAAAAACTCAGTCTACCGGTAGTTGGATATTTTTTTCCTCTGCGACGGCACCAAGTTTGAGTCACGAGTACGGCAGGTTATTCGGACTGGGGGACGGTTTGGTAAAGATGGCTGTGTGACCAAGCAACAAGCAACAGCCGATGCTGCTGCCACTGCGAAGGGAAAAAGAAGAAGAAGAAAAATACCAAGCCGCCAACTATCTCTCCCACCACCGCACGCCTTGTCTCGTCTCGTCTCGTCTCGTCTCGTCGATGAATCTCCGCAAAGGGGAGTTCGGATTCAACAGGGAGATAAGCTACCATACACTAATTGGCTTAGGTAAGATGCCACCCTTGCGGCGAACGGCTTGGCTGGACAAGCTTTCGTGAGGAACCAGTAGTACTCGGGGGGGCCAATGCTTGGTTTCCCTTGGGCATTGACGACAGGTCTCGGTGGCCGCTGCTAGAATTTACCGTACGGATCTCGTGTGAATGCGTGAAGGAGAGTGAGAGTGAGAGTTGGCGCTTTTTGGGTGCTGTGCTGTGGTACTTGTGTGCTGGTCGGCAGTGTTGGTGACTGCACGGGTGTGGGGTTGGGGGAAAGAGCTAGCGTGGTACTCGAGTATATGATATGATACCTTTTTCCCAGACGAGGACAAGGGAAGGGAATGGTGATTTGGAGCGACAGCGCCTTGCGGGGGAAAGAGCTGATTACCGCCAGTACGGTACGGTACTCGAGTACAAGTACAAGTGCCGGTGATTGTGATGACACAAGTCAAGCAGAGCACCAGTTGCGGCTGCCCTTGTCGTGCCCTGGCTGAAGTGAAGGGGCAGCAGGGCGTGGAGAGGACCTGGTGGGCTGGACTGAGGCTCTCCGTTGCCGTGCTGTGCAGTCTGTCAATTTATGATACTCCTAAACTGCCCGCCTCGATTCCAATAAGGCACCGGAGATGCGGGGCTTATGGGGCGGAAAAACTTTAAAAAAACACATGCAGATGGTGCAAAGTGCTATGAGGGCCACTTTTTTCCCCTTCCCTTTGCCCCCCCCTCCCTCCTCTGTCCGTCGCTCTCTTCCGTCGCGTCCGTGATGAGCGTATTTGTGGACCTAATTTGGCGCGATGGGACTGAGAATAGATTACCGGTATCATACGGTAGGTATCATAGGGGTGTGTAGCCATCCCTTTGTCGCTGGGACTCAGCTGAGCTCGAGATTGCGGGGGGATTTCAAGGGTTTTGTTTCTCGTTTTTTTATCCCTCTTGGCGGGTCTAGTGATAATGACGTATGATACTTTGATATCATATCATAGGTGAAGTCCCTTTTTGTTGTAAATTTTGACATGGATCACAGTGGCGGCGGACCCATGTGGAGTGGCAGGGAAAAGGGAAAAGCTTACATATCATACTCTATCCTAACATCCTCCATTGTCGCTTACACTGCTCTCTCTTGTTGTGGTTTAGAGGTCAAGGTTACGAGTGCACTATCCACACTCCTGCCGTATGAGTGCTGTACTGTACTGTACTCGTACTTATACCCTCGACAGTGTTTTCTTCCCTTTTCTTCCCCCCCCTTCTTCTTTTTCTTCCTTCTCCCCTTCTCCTTCATCTCTTTTCTTCCCTTCATCCATTTTTTCTGTTAAACTATTCTTTTTTCTTTGTTTGTTCTATGATAGTAGTAGCCTCTTCGATTTAGGTGGAGCACCCCTCGACCCATCAAAGCTCTGCGTCTTCGTCTCTCATTGCGCATAACCACGTTTATTTGCTTCACCTCCCCCGGGGTACCAACCCCGAAGAGGACCTTCCCTGCCGCAACTTCAAAACCCCGAAATCGAAACCCCCGTTCCCCACCAAAAACAGCTAGACAATCATTCCCCCATTGTTATTGAGCTCTCTGAACTGGAGTACCGGTAGGTTTCGTGCACTTTCCATCTGTGCTCTGCCTGTTGGAACCCCCCGACACCGCCGCTCTTTGCTTTGACATGTGACAACTGACATTTTGACAGGACTGTCTCGATTCCCGCTTGGTGCTGGAGTGTGGCGCCCGAGAATTTACGAGTAATTGTCGCGGGTATAGGGCTTGTTTGATTTCCCATCCTCCCACCTTTACAAACGGACGGAATCCTATTGAAGCACCCGGTTTCTGCTCCACGAGCAGAAACAACACCAGAACCTCAAGACGTAGCCGCCGCGCGCCCTACCTCTATCTCTTGGAAAAGCCGGAAATCTTCGAATTTCCTTTTGTTTTCAATTGCATACCACCGCCCCCCACAACCCCATAGGGAGCTCCTTAGAGCCAACGCAAACGGCCCATTTTCTTCCGGGAATAACGGGAAGGCGGACAAGATATGGCTTGGGATCATCTGAGTGTGAGTTGTCCGTATTTATACTTTTGCACTCTTGTATAGTTTTTTTACCTTATTTTTCCTATCCTGTCGTTCCCCTTTACCCATATTTTTTTTTCCCGTTAATTCGGAGCAATTCGGGATGAATGCGGTTTGGTTTTCCTCTTGAATTTTCTTCTTTTTTTCCTTTTTTGCTATCTCATTTGGTCCGCTTGCGCCGCCCCGTCGGGTTTTCTGAGACCAGGGTTCCCAAATTTTCGTGCGACAGCAGCCCATGGGGTCAGTGCGTATGCAACCAATATGAGGATGCATCTGGCAAGCGCTACCGGTAGGAGTGGGATTACTTGTAAGTCTTGTTTTCACTGGTGCTCGTGGACTTTACAAAATACAATACCTTGTGTACCTTATTGCTTCCAAGCGTTAGCAAGTTCATTTAACTGTGAACTTGTTCTGTGGTGTTTTATTCTGTTGGTCGTTTCCTTGGTCACTTTTGCCTGCCCTATTTGTCAACATGGTTTGTTCGGCTTTTCCCTGAGTTTATCGATCTGAATTCTCGGAGGCAGCATGGCTTGGCATATGGGGGTGTGTGTGTCGTGATCAAGACTGGTGGGTCGCTGGTGATTGGTGAACCAATGATCACAGGCAATAGAGTCTCCTGCGGCTTTTCGATACCTTTCTTGAGTGTTTTCATTGCCTCGTGTTTTCGGGTTACCACTTTCTGAGGCACGGCAGAAAGGACGCATGCTAACGTATGCGGATTCAAACATACAGATCAACAAGCCACATCTGGCGTACACGATCTTGGGGGGTTTTACGTCTATTTTCATGCTAGTTTCCTTGTTCATTAAGGAAAAATTGTATATCGGCGAAGCTAGTGAGTGCCTTGACTTGGGGTTGACGGTGGAAAGGGTCTAATTAATTGAAATAGCCGTTGCGACAATATGTGGTATCATCTTTGGCCCCTCTGCTGCTGGGTTGTTCGATCCTCAGACATGGGGAAATGTTGACCAGATTACCCTGGAAGCGTCCCGGATAGTCCTGGTCGTTCAGTGTTTTGCCGTCGGTGTCGAATTACCAAAGGTTAGACCTTCCTTGATTTTCTCTTGATTGATCTTATACTGATTACTTGCGTAGAAATATATGGAGCGTCATTGGAAATCTGTGGTCTTTTTACTAATTCCTGTCATGACTTGGGGATGGTTGATCACCTCTCTCATCATTTGGTGGATGATACCATCCCTAAACTGGCTAGATTCGCTCACGGTAGCCGCCTGTGTCACAGCAACGGATCCCGTTCTTGCATCTTCAGTTGTCGGAAAGGGTAAATTCGCCCGTCGGATTCCTAAGCACCTTCGTGATATCCTTTCCGCTGAGTCCGGGTGTAATGATGGAATGGCTTTTCCGTTTATTTATC